ATAATAATGATAATAGTGAGAATAATAATAATGATAATAATGATAATAATGATAATAACAACATTACATTTTTTTCTAAGAGTCTCAAGTTCGCACCTGTTTTCCAGTTTTTACCGGAAAAATAAAGATTAAGTTTGAAAAAATGAAAAAAAGGAGTTTTTGCCACAAACTGATGGTGTAACACTTTAATATTTCGACAGAATTTGGTTTGTTAAATATCGAAGGTCTACGAGTACTACAAAGATATAGAATATTAGAGTTTGTGGTAAAAAAAATTTATAAATATACATATTTTATATATTTTTACTTTGTATATTCATATTTTAGTACCGCCTGAAGATGGCTACCACAACCGACACCACTAACATTACCTTAACTATCCGGATACTCATGCAGGGAAAGGTAGAACATCTTATTTCTTTTTTTTTAAATTGTTAATAGATTGTTGAACCTTTGAAACAGAAACTTAATGATTCTTAACAGTGAGCTTAAAACTATTTTTGAGGAACAATAAAAATTAGTTTTCAAAAAAAATTACAATTTTTGGCTCTTTTTTGAATTTGGAATTCTGTAATTCAATATGATGTCAAAACAGTCTCTGTAAATATGTTTTAAATAAAATAAAATAAATTTTTCAGGAGGTTGGGAGCATAATTGGAAAGAAGGGAGATATAGTTAAGAAGTTGAGAGAGGAGGTAACCCCCCCCCACACATTTTTTACTAACACTTCCAACCTTTAACTCCTCCAATGGCGGAATGTTATATGTTATGTTATGTTATGTTATGTTATGTTATGTTATGTTATGTTATGGAATGGGATGGAATGTTGGGACACTCAGTAAAAAAAAATTTAATCGCTAAATTTGTCCTAGAATTAATGAAATGAAATGTTTTCTCCTTTTTCCTCCTAATTTTCAATTCGACTGCAGAGTTCTAAGTCCATATATATTATTCATGATGTTCGTGCAACCTTTGAGCTTGGTTTGATCTTAAATAATAATAAATCTGTAAAGTGAAACTATACAATTCTTTGATTTCTGATTAAAAGAGAGGGATTGCAGTACTACTACTTTACAATATTTTCAATGAAGCTAGGTTATATATAGCCTGGTGTGTTTGGTCTGATCTGGGTGGGTGGTTATGATCTAGCTTGGCTGGATCTGACGTAGCTTGGCTGAATCTGATGTAGCTTGGCTGGTTATGATCTAGCTTTGCTGGATCTGATCAGGCTTGGCTGGATCTGATCTAGCTTGGCTGGATCTGATCCGTCTTGGCTGGATCTGATATGGATCTGGTTGGATCTTGTTTGACTAAGCTAGAAATGGACTATCATGCAACCTTTAACCAAAGTTTAAAACTATAAATTAAGGTCCTTTCGAAAATCCGTGATCAATCACTTGAATTTTCATGTTTGCTACATAAAAGATTTTAATGGCGTGTTGTTTGAAATAAGTTGTTAATGTTACTAAACTAATTGATTTATATGTTCAACTATTTCAAAACGACTTTAGTTTTTTTCTTTTGAAATCCAGAAATTAGAAACTGGACAGAAATATTTTTAAAAATCCTCAACATATCCTCATGGTGTTGTTGTTGTAGAGTCTAATCTGGTGCTTACATGTAGAATCTAATCTGGTGTTGTTGTTGTAGAATCTAATCTGGTGTTGTTGTTGTAGAATCTAATCTGGTGTTGTTATTGTAGAGTCTAATTTGGTGTTGTTGTTGTAGAATCTAATCTGGTGTTGTTGTTGTAGAATCTAATCTGGTGTT